AGAAGTAAATGCACCAGTTGTTCCTAATAGTTGGGTACTATATTGGAAAACAGTGAATGTGTACATCTAGGTCAAACAAACAATTATGTGATTGTCCATGTTTCTTCCTTCATCCAACCTAGTTTTAGTGATGTCCCTGTGGTCCAAGATATTAATAGTTACTTTTTGCAGTACAGATCTGAAACCCACATTGTAATAAAGCATAGTTTCCTCTCAGTCCAGTCCTCTCTCAAAGCGCATAAGCTGATTGTGTTTTCCCAAAGCATTTCACTTGATCTCTTTTTTTGTCATTAGGACATGTTCATGGCAGTCTTTTACAAATTAACCACTGACATATTGTTACCTCTGCCAGGGGCAGAGATGATGCTTTTAGTGGAGTTTGTTTGTTTGTTGGTTGGTTTGTTTACAGCATAACTCAAAGAATGAATGGAATGAATGGATTTGGATGAAATGTTTTGGAGAGGTAGTGTATGGCCCACAGAACAATCTGTAAGATTTTGCTGCTCATCCAGATCATCATCTGGATGCAGGAATTTTTTAAATAATTTGTTATCATTGTGAGACAGGGCCAATTTGTAGTTTTCAGTCATGTGACTGGAACAGAACCCTGGAGAGCCAAAAACCCTTTAAACGTCGCGGCTAACACTGGACACACTATAGAACTGCAGCACAGGCCTGTTAATTTTCTGGTTATCTTCTATTCAGTGGCTCCTGGTAGCAGTGACAGGATCTGAGTCGTACCTAACAGCTGGTCTTTTTATCTCTGTGTCCACATTCCACTGCCTCTGTTCTAAATCCACTGCACCAACAGGGTGAGGGAGCAGCGGTGGTCGAGCGAGCTAGTGTGTGAATGAAGAGAGGGAGCAGCACTGATTCAGAGAAATAAAATGTTATTTACTCATAGTTTCACTGTGGTTATGTTCTAAAGCACAAATAAACATGACCACACTTCTGCACAGCCCTGCAGGAAGGACTGTATGTGAACGCAGTCAAAGCACACCCTGTCCTGCTGTGGCCTCTCCCTGCAGCTTGTGTGTGCAGCTAAGCCTCGCACTCAGTCAAACAGACAGACACACAGCTCATATTATAAGGGTCAAATCGTCATGGGAATATTGCTTTTAGGTGTAATGGCATTATGGGGAAACTGAGCATAGCTAAAAAACTTATGGATTTTTTACCATTGTGAGATTGACCTAATCTCAGTATTTTGGTTTCTAACTCTATACATAATGCCTTTAATGTGTGGACAAATATTGCACTGTAATATTCACATAAGATCTACCACACACCAAAGTATGGATCCAAATAATATTCTGGAATGTTCACATTTACAGAAAACTCACTACTGTGAGACAACAACAGATTTGCAACTAAGATCAACTGCTGACTCCCAGCAAGTAGGTTCCAGGTTCAACCAAGGCAGACCCAGGGGCCTTTCTATGTGGAGTTCTTCCTGGTCCAGCGAGGGTTCTCCCTGGGTACTCTGGCTTCCTCCCACAGTCCAAACACATGCAGCTTAGGTTGACTGGCAACTCTAAATTGGCTGTAGGAGTGAGTGTGAGTGGTTGTCTACATGTTAGCCTTGTGATAGACTGGCAACCTGTCCAGGGTGGACCCCACCTCTCGCCCAGTGTCAGCTGGGATTGGCTCCAGTGACCCTGTTCAGGAATAAGTGTTAAAGATGGTGGATGGACTCTGCTGACTCAGTAGGGTGTCAACAGGTTTGACATTCCTTCAAACATTACTTAACTATATTCTGAGGAAAACTACCATTAGTGAACATTTTGTCTTAAATAATTTTTAAACTGCTAATAATGTCAATGTGATTGCAAATGCTAGGGGTAAGTTTTCATAGTCAAAGACTCATAACTGCCTTGGCAGAGGTTTGCACTCGGACTGTTTAGTTTTCCATGCAATACTGACTTTATTTAACATTAATTGCAATGCATTGTATTCTTTCTGGATGCCTTCAGCTGCTAAGCTGGTAGTCACTTCTCTGCTGGTGTGGCATTCCACCAATACAACAGACAGCAGGTTGGGGTACTTGGTCAGGACGATCTCATCACAGTTTATAGGGAAGCAAAACTTAAGCCATAGCTTGATATGTATTATTATTATGTTTTTAAATAATCTAGAATATACTGTAGTGGATTAAACTGCATGCATCATCTTAAATGTGACCAAAACATCCAAAAATGAGGTGTATGTGTGTTCTAGTATTTCTATGCAGACGCAACTTTGTCTCATAAACTCTGTGAGACTGTTTTTTCTAACAATATAAAGTATTACATGATAGTTTAAGGATCTCTTTGAATGGTCATAATCTCCAGACAGTTGCGTGTTCATGTGAGGTTGCCTGACATCACCTGACGGCAGAATTTTAACTGAATGTGGTTCTGTAGATATAATTTCCCTCTTGCTGCACTGTGACCACAGGATGTGGAGAAAAATTCATGGCCTGAGGTTACTGCATGGAATGTTCCTGTACAGGGACTCACTGTTTTACCTGGCCAGGTCTATCTAACCTACAAGCAGTCAGCCAGTGAAAGCCCCCGCAGCAGTGAATGATCAGCTCATCATCGCTGGATTCCCCCAGAGCACAGTACCTACTTGTTTGGACTGATTGAGGCCAGTGTGTCTGCTGCATGTGATGTGT